GAACACAATAAACAAGTTTGAAAATGGAGTGTGACTATGTTGAGTAAATTTTAAAATAAAGTTACACTTTAAGAGTTAAATTTATCACCAATCCAAGTGGGTTTGGCCCACTCTGAATGAGTGTTAAATCAGCTCTCTACATATTGTATATTTTACTCCAGTTGCTGCATATTCAACTCAATGGAATTTACTATGTTCAACTATCAGAACCTGCTGTTTTTTCTACACTCCATATGCTTTTATAGTACTCTTCATTCATTGTTTTTACAACATTCCAAATGTTGTTTTTAGTACTAAATCTAGTTTAAACTCATTAAAGGGTTTAATAGCACCATCCCTCATAGACTCTGGGTATCAGGGTTCTGCCCTCTGTTTAAGTTTATTTTTAGTTTCTTTGCATTTGTAGTTTTTTTTCTAGCAGTGTTTTGTTCTTAAGTTACTCACTGTCCCCCCCTTGCGTTTGTTTCCTTTCCCCTTGGCTTTCTTCTAGATCAGGCCTACCAGACCTCGGTCCTCGAGGCCCGCTGTCCTGCAGGTTTTAGAGGTTTCCTTGCTCCAGCACAGCTGATTTTAACTGAAAGCTGATTAACAGGTTTTTGGTCTAGTGCAATCATTATAATCAGCTGTTCTAAAGCAGGGAAACCTCTAAAACCTGCAGGACAGCGGGCCTCGAGGACCGAGTTTGGAGATGCCTGTTCTAGATGCTTCCATCCACACCTGCTCCTTGTCAGCTCATTAGTCCAGTCCATGTGCAGTTCCTCAGTGCTCATTCCTCTTCTTTTCCTGGCTACTTGTGCTTGCTTTCCCTGATGTCTCCATGGTTTTGGTTGGATTTGCATTTTTATGTTGGATTTTTGGATTCCTGCTTCTGTTACCTGTGATAACTTCATTAAATCAGTAAAACTCATCTATGCCTTTGGGTCCTCAAAGCCTCCACTCAACCTGACACTGGGTAACTATTGTTTTTGTGCAAAAAATAAAAATAAAAAATTCTACCCAGCTTATATGATTAGATACAGTAGTCTGTAAAGACATGACTTTTTCAGTAACAGCCTTTTGTGGTCTTTTTTTTAACCTCCATGAGAAGGAATTAATGCCAAGCAACCGTCGAAAAGTCTTCCAAATGTTTTCAGCACAACTTCAGGTTTTCAAGGTGTATAGAGAGGGACATAGTTCAATCTGAAAAACTCACAAGAAAAGAAAAGACAATTAGGAGAAATGTCTTGATACAATTACTTTGTCTTTGGTGCTCAGACCTCGGTAGGAAACAGCGCTGAATTTCGATAGATATGCATGAACAGGAGCAAAGAATAGGGCTATTTCCCCCAGGCCTTAAACTGGTGGTGGAGTGGAGATAGATGAAGTTGGTTAGTCTGCAAACTGCTGGTTAGTGAGACGGCATGCTGAGCTTTATGCAGAGATCCAATGAATTGAAAATTATATATAATGTCGGGTTTTTATTCTGCTTTTGGGCCATAATGACGTTGCAAGAACAGCAAATATATTTGCAAAGGACTACGTAGATGCATTTTTTTGTAAGAGAAATTCCACCAAATTGTCAGCCATTCAGATTCTACATATAAATAATGTTTTTATTTGACCAGCCTGAGTATTTTTAAGTAGGGCAGTAATGATAGACAAAAATCAAATGTTCATTTCCCTTCCAGTTTTAATCTAGTACTCAGAATGCTTTTTAGCCTTAATCAAGAGGAACAAGTTAAATGTGGCCACTAGAACTGACTGGAGATTTTGTTTGATTTTATTATTTCATTGATAAAGGAAAGGCTGGCTTAGCCACTAATTATCTATTCTTTCTTTATGTGTGTACCTCCTTGTTTTATGTGTGAGGTACTTTCTGATTTCATCTCTGTGAAAATATGTATTTCTTTGTAATAAGGGAGGGTGTGGCATAAAATGCCCAACATCCTTAATCAATGTGTGTATAATTGTTAGGCAACTTGTTTCCTTCAGGCAAAATGGTCCAAAAATAAAGAGAGCTTTAACTGACTAAGAATCAAACATCAGGCTAACCAGGAACTCATCATCGTCCTGTTGTCCTATTACATAACTGCAGCCTACTTTAATATTAGTACCTTGAGCACAAGATTTTCAGTACTCAGATATATGGCCAAGGTAAAGAAGTCTGAAGCCAAACCAACACTTAACAACACACTTAAACTTAAGACTAAACTGGGCCAGGAAATATCTGAAGAAATATTCTTAAAGGTTCTATGGGCAGATAAAATGGGGGTGACTGTTGATGTATCAGAAGGATCAGTAACTGTCACAGCAATTCATTTCGAGATGGATGCCAGCAACATGGAGGTGTGGTATTGGTATGGGCTGATGTTTTTAATGCTGAGCCACTGGATTTAAAAATATATATTTGTATTCAGGACAATGTTCTATCAGATGCAACCAAGTACTAATTTTATGATGCTGGCCAGTGAAGGTGTTAAAGATGAAAAAAAAAAACTGTATAGGAAAGCAGTCCACCTCCTTGCAGGCTGTGCATGATTCTGCACAAAAGATTGATCATCAGAAGATCCAGAAAGTTAAGGGGTGGCTATATTGGTCACTGCTTTCTTACTGAAAATGTGTTTAGTTGCTGAATGATTCTGCACAATGTCTGTTGTTGAGATCTCACCTAGCTGAAGAGGTGAGATCTCAATCCTCATTGCCATGCAGGCTTTCAAAACATCTCGCCTGTTTAGCCAGGCCTACATCGACCCTAACGACTTCCCATTACTGAGGGGTGGACCAGTTTTTCGATTCAATTAGCATGTTTTCTAAGCCATAACAAGGCATTAGTTTCGGCTACTATAAGCCTGGCCTCAATGCTACTCCAAACATTTTGAATCGAGAAAGCTTTATAGATGGGAAGCGAAATTTTTTCAAACAAGGAAAACAAGTTCAGTGTTTGTTTGTTTTTTTTTTTTTACTTTATTTGGAATCAGAGAGATATTGTGTGCTTAAATCCAGCCAAATGCAGCCAAACTAATAGGTCAGTATTTCATAATACAGATGGACAATGATCCAAAAAGGAACTCCAGAATAACTCAGTTTATTAAGGCAAAGAAGTGAAATATTATTGACTGGCTAAGTCAAACACCTGATCTCCAGACTTTAGACAGAAAGGCCCGCAAATAAGTAGTAAATGAAAACTGCTGCAGCAAAGGCCTGCAGAGCATTAAAAGGGAGGAAACACAGAATCCAAAAGCCCAAGACTTATGGCAACCATTTCCAACAAAGGGATATCACAAGTATTAGAAGCAAACCTTTTGTTTCAAAGTTATTTCATTTTTCCAACTACTTCCAAGGCCTTGGAATATAGGAATTGTGTTTAAAAAGGATTTAGTTTGTCTCATAATTTGTTAAACCTACTGAATTAAAGCAAAATCAGCTGCATCTGAATTGTTTTATTGAAAATTCATGATGTTACTGTACTGAATCTTAATTAGAAGAATTGAATCTTTGTCCAAATATTTAAAAACCTAACTGTAGGTACAAATGAGCCTGGCCAAGCAGATAGTTGCCAGATAAATATAACTACTCACTCATAGGAGACCAGTTGTAGAGCTCTCAGTGATGTTTGAGATGTCTGCAGCAAACACAGGGATAAAGACCTTTTTGTGATATTCCGAAGGGGCCTTAATATTCAAAACATCCGCATAATTAAGCTGAAGCAAAAAGGTAGCTGAGACTATTTATTTATTTATTTTTCACAAAATTTGCTGTATGAATCCAAAAGAGAGCTTTTTATCTGATATAAAACTTGCTATGTTAAAGGGGGGGAAATAGGTGAATTATCCCTGGCAAAGGATAGAAGACCTGAGATCCAACTGCAACTGCAGCCTTCCTTTGCGGCTCAAAGTAAAGACCTCCACTAGCACCGCATTTTACAGTTAGAGGGAGGGTCCATCTATTAGAAGGAAAGGGATTTCATCTCTTATTCTAATAGGATTAAGAATGGATACTGGTGATCCATATCCTGTCCAAGCATGACTTTAGAACGTCTGTGGTTGCAATGTGAAAGAGGTTTTAAATTTCAGTCACAATGCAAAAACTTTTTGTATTGCTCTTTAAATGACAGCATATTGTGAAAAATCACTGTAATTTTTATTTGGTGTTGTGGTGCAGTAGTGCTCCAGCAGATTTTTACAAACCTTTACATCACGAACCATTGGTAAAAATGTAATTCTGGATCTGTCAGTACTTATTATGCAAGAATAAACGATCAGGGTGTGATCAGGTAGATCTTTTATTTTTCTGTTTGAAGGATTTGACAAACACAAGAAAACGATCTGAAAAAGTATTTTCTTCTCAACCAAAGAATATAGAAAATATGTTGCCATTGAGAACATCCCTTAGTCTCTATCATCGCTTTACGCAAAACAGACACAAAAACAAATTCAAGGTTAATTTAAGCTTTTGTGCTTTTGAAACTGGAGTTAAAAGGCAAAAAACAGCTTATAACGATAAAATCAGAAATGCGAGAGGGTAAAAGGTTCCAGTATAATAATTTCGTTAGCCAGGTTAAAAATTCACACTTTGACCTCTAATAGTAAGAACTGGTCATAAAGGCCACATAGATAAGCAATATTTCAGGCATTATTCAGACAGTGTGAATACTATTTGAATATTTTGTCTAGGAGACTCAGACATTATTGGTTGCTAGTTATTTTGCCCTTTCACCATTTTCACACATCTGTAGAGTAGATTGTTTTATTTGTTACCAAATTCTACAAAAAAAAAAATAATCTCCAGTTCTTCATTTTCATTCATTTAAATCTGTTTTTGTTTTGTTTCTTACATATGGTCCACTTACAAACCTAGTAAAACAATAAAGTTTTTGCATTTTTCTTCTGCTCACCCTATTAAACAGACTAAACAGCAAAAAACAAACCAAAAAAAAAACTGTAGAAATATGTTTTAGTGTCGGTCAGTAATTAATTATATAGATGAAAATCTTTATCTTTCTATCCCACCCTGTCTATACTAGTCTTATTTGCGGTACCAAGGCTGTGCTTAAAGCTGATATGGATCAGACTTGGCTGCCGATGAGTGATAAGTGACTGGCTAAAAATCCATGGCATCAATTGCTGTGCATTAAAAATGCAAGAATCAAACATGTTTTAAATGGTCTCAAATACCCCAAAGAAATGTTACCAGCTGCTTTTTAGAAAAAGTGTTGCAAGCGTAGTCTGAAAAGTTGCTAAATGTGAGGACAGGGTTAAGTTGGCAACAGTATTCATGTCTAGATTTCTGAGTTGCGAAAATGAGGCCTAACTGCATGGGGAATGTCTCAGATATGCACATATGACAACCGGTGATTTGTTTTCCTTATGCCTTGTTGAGGTCACTTGATTATGACCAATTTTATTTGTCAGTAGGACATTAATTTAGAAATATTTAAGTCTATTCAGGGGTCACAATCTTCTATATTTTACAGGTCAACAAATGTATTTAAGCTTCTGAAATACAATCAAATAAAACATGGTATGAAATTAAGACCTATGTTAGATATGTAGATATGTTTAGATCCTTTATTATGTATCGAAAATGCCTGTTAACCAAAAGAAATAAACTGATACACGGTGGCAAAAAAAATGAGGGGTGAAATGCATTGTTAATGTTTATGAAATCTATGAACTAAGTGTTGATTGTAATACATCAATATGTAGATAGAGAATTGGGGTACATATTGACAGAGGACAAAGTGACCTTGAGTGTGTGGTATGACGCTGTTATCGTATTTTATTTCTGTTTTATTAATCTGATTATTTTTATTATGGAATAGAGAAATAAAGCAATCCTTTTAATGAAATGTTGGCAGTTTTATTTAAACTGCGTTTTGGCTGCTTTAATATAAGACCTGTGTCACTACAACTCTTATTTTGCTATGAAGATAACCCAGGAGGTCGAATCCAAACATATCGGTTAACCCTGTTGTGTCCAATCAAGGTTGTCATGAATATTGATTGATTTGTGAAGCTTGAAAAACCTTCTTCTAATTGCTCACAATGCTAAAAAAAATGTATTTGCATGAGTGTCAAGCAGAATTTTTTGTTTTTAATGAATCTGAGTTTAATCACATTCGTAGTGCACAGGGTTGCGTATATGCTTTCAAAAAGCTGTAAAAAGGCCAGGCACAATGTAGTCTGTTGCTTCTCCATCGATGAGGCCTGATCCGTTATTGTGAACAAACCAGCAGGGAACATTTTCACCGTTCTTCACATCCCTTCTGAAGTCTATCTGCCAGCCTCTGTAATTCCAGGAAAACAGGTCAGGGCGATTGAATCAGTTGCATGCACAAAGTTTAACCTATTTAAACACTTTTAACAACCATTACAGCAAAAACAACTCACAATATAAACACGCGAACGTAAATAAAGATTAAACTTGCCGGGTCACAGTGAGCTGGTGTCCTTTTGTAAACATAGTTGCGTCTGGTTTCTCCGGGGATTCTCCAGGCCGCAAGCCTGTCACTTCATATTCAATCCCATGGTAAAACTGACCTGAGGAGTGATTTGTGGTAAATAAATTTATTTTTAAATACTTAGTAAAAAAGTAAGCAACTTTACATTGAGTAAAATAGCTTTTAGTTAAGGTCAGCAAGTTAGTTGTATAGCAATATTGATACAACTGTAACAGTTTTTGTTGGCAATCAAACTTGTACTCTTGGAAACCATATTTATTTCTCTTTAAATGGTGTTACTATAATAGTGGCTTGCATGAAGGTGGTTCTGGGTTCAGATTCTGCTCTGGGTTCTATCTGCAGGTAGTTCTTATGTTGTACCAGAGCATGGCTTCTCTCAGGTAATTCTGCCTTGCCTCTGAACTTGTAACCAGCGACCTGAATGGCTGTTGCATCTGGATGGTTGTTTGTCCTGTCTGTCTTCGTGGTGACCCTGCATCTGAAACAATCACTGCTAGAGATAGTTAGCAGTCGCCCTGTGACCCAGCAAAAATAAGAAGGTCCAGACAATGGGTAGACTTATGAAAGGAAAATCTATGTGTTGATTCAGCAGCAGACTTGTTTGTTTGGGTTGTCCTGATTAAAATTTGTCATTTTCTGTCTGCCAATTTTGAGTTGGTGGAGTCAATTTACTAGGTGGAGTCAGTTATTTATGAAACAGGGCACTTTATGGTATTTGGAACAACTGTTACCAAACACAACAGCCCGCCATTTTATCACCAGATGAACACACATCTTGAATTTTATATTTTGGTCCTTAAAAGTGTCAGAGTTTGAATTCGGCAGAGTTATCAAATCATCATCTTTTGCCAGTTTCTTTTGTATTGCAGGTGCAATTGAGAGACTGGTGATTTTTTTTCATGTGAGTGGAGTGTCAGCTTCAGCTGCATTTGTGGCCAATGAATAAACCGTTTTTTCACTTTGTATGCCATAGTGATTTATTTGAAATATAGCACTATGTGGATAATGTATTTATGTATAATATAGGAGTTTTACTGTTTGTTTAAAATTGATCTTTTTGATAACATTTTAATTTATTGAGGTGTACCTGGACACATGCAAGCAATTATTTCTGCTTTAAGGAATTTAAGAGTTAAACCTGGTTTTGTTGTATATTCATGTGTCTATACGTGATAATAAACAGGATTAGCATAGAAAACATAAGAATATGCTTATCAATTCAAATCATTCTTTTCCAAAGGTTCACAAATAAAACAACAACAACAAACAAAATAATTAAACATAATGTTGTACCTAGTAAGCCATGAACAGAAGGGGACAGAAGATGAGTGTCCAGGGTGTAGAAACCTAGGTAGTCTTGATGGTACGGGTGTTTCTTCCACACTTTGTGGAGCAGGATGACAAACTTAACAGAGCCCTTTAGTGTCACTTTCAGGCTGCGATCTTTGGTTACAAGAAGATCCACACTGAAAGAAAACATATAAAAGACTGTCACAATAATCCTGATCTGGGGTATTCATGTTAAAATAGTTATTTTATAGAATCCTTTTGAGATAGTTCAAATAAAATGTTTGTTGCAAGATCAGCATGACTTCTTAAAGGCTTCATAGCTCTTGTGTTTATGGGTAACAAATCAAATTGGACGTCCTTCATAGCTATTCTTAAGGGGAGGGAATATAATTAATCAATAGGTAGACATGTGTGAGCAAAATCACATTCATATAAGGCTGATCAAAGCTAAAAAAAAAACTGCATATTTTTGTTAGCTTTGATTTTAAAAACATGGAGCTAAGTCATATAGATGAATTTTACCCATTTGAATTATACTCCCGCTTCATAAATGAAAACTGATGCTTAAAGGAAATCAAAAGAGCTCATGGTTACTGAGTTCCTGGTAAACTGCTAATAACATCACTTACTTAGGTCCTTTCAGAGAAGCCGTATCCGTCCACAGCAGTTTGACTTCTTTGCCATCCTGTAACACTGAAATAGCCTGAGTGGTCACCTGCAGCCTGACCCCCAAAGTTGCATGGATAATACCAAAACCCCCAAAATAGGTGTTTATTTTCCCATCTGCCGGAATCTTCTTGTCTCCAATTATCAGTCCGTTTACAAAAACACCTGACGACACATGATGGGAAGTGGTAGATGAGGGAAGAAATGTTAAATTGCAACAAAGAACCAGAGGCCAAAACATTTAAGAAGTGTGTCCCGACCTGATTCTGGATCTCTGACGAGATTAAAAATGGTTCCTGGTACATTGTTGATGTTGAAGCACAAAGAGTCATTTCTGTCAGGCAGCTCTATCATGAAATGGGGATCTCCATCCACTGCAAGAACCATCATGTACAAAGGCCTTTAGAATTAAAATGGATAAAAGGTTCTACTCATGATATTGTGGAATCTTTAAATCAGGCTCTGTAGATTGTTTATGTCTTACTTGCAGTAGATTTTTTAGTTTCCACTTAGTTTGAATCTAAACTGATTTATTCCAGTGGCTACAATTAACATCTTAGACAGACCAAGATCAAAGCAAACTTCTGCTTCCTTCAAAATAATTGAAATTTCAAAAACTAGTTAAGAATTAATGCAAACTCTATTTTATTAAGCTTTAAACCATTACAGGATTTGCACTGGCTTAGTATGTCCATAAATACTGATGCTGAGATGGATGTTGACAGTGATCTCTTTTTTTGTGTAAAATAAATACAGAGAAATAACTCACTAACAGAAAAAATAGGAAGAGAAAACATTTTTAATTAAACTGTTGTAATATTTTAATTGCTTTCTTTATTTTAGTTTATAGCAGTTACTCAGGATGAAAGTTCTATATAGATTGCTATTATCAAATGATATATAATCCTCTACCTGCAAATCCTGTATAGATTATTGGCGTTTTGGTTTTGTGCGTTTTTTATTTTACCCCCCTAACATGCAACATTTGCAACATATTTTCTTTAAATAAGAGAGTTTACGAATGCTAATCTTTTATGATATCCATCTTTATAAATGTGGTAGGATTTCCCACCTGTGGAGGTGTTTCAAGGGCAGTTTCCCCAAAGTTGCATTAGACATAGGAATGTACAATCATTATGTAAAACTACAGCAGACTGGTTTATTATTTTTTTATTAAAATGTAAATGTACTTACCAAAATACACAGGAGCATACGGTAGTTGCTTAGCCTGTAAAGCTGCCCCCTGCAGTTGTGTCGCAACTCTGTGGTACATTTCTATACAATGGGTTCAAAGTGGAATCTATTTTAAAATAAAATATCCACACTTGATGATTTTTCATTTTTATTTTACAAAAGAGTTGTTTTACTTATCGGTTTCGCCCTCTCTGCTTGCTGTCTTTGCTCTATCAAAAACAACAACAACAAATAGACAACTCATTACATTTATTTCCTGAAAACCCAGCGAAGATTAGAATAAAAGGAAAAAAATGTGAATCTGTTTGCCTGTAAAACTGCTGAATGTATAGCATTATATAAGATGCAAAGTCATATTCCGTATAAGAGAATATTTGCTTTCAATAAGGTCCATTTTCACAGCAGGAAATCATCAAAGCTAATAGATGAAAGGGCTTTAAAACAATCAATGTGTAATTAATTAATAAATTGTATTTTATTTAAACACGCACACACATATATATATCTATATCTGTACCTTACAGTTGTCTATACATGGGCTTGTTGCTTTCAAATAAATCAAGGGAAACTAAATCCTTTAGCAGAAATTTAAGTGAAAACAGGAATAAAAACACCTACTATTTTTTGTTTGTTTTACCTTCTGTCAGCTTGTTAGCGATGAGAGGGCTGTCTGGACCATCCTCTGTTTCAGGTTTGGTAACCACCATGGAGGTAAGAGGTGTAACAAAGCTATACTGCAGGGACATGTCCAGGGCCTTAGCTGTAAAGTTGGCTTTTTCATCTGATGTACCAGTCTTACTATTATAAGGGAAAGAAGATTGAGCTTGTAAGAAATAGCTGACAAACATAATTGAACATGACCTCTCAAAGCATAAACGGCAGGAAAAAGACATACTAAAAATGTCAACATTTATGTTCAAATATCAGCAAATATGTTTCCAAAGGACATATAGGTATGAAATTCAGATGAGATGTTACAAACAACCCTGTTCCACAAAAAGAAACTGGCACAAATAATTCAAGAATACATTTCTAGAAACAAGTATAATCCAAACTTATAGGCTATCTTTAATTCTTTTATTTCTTCGTTATTAAATTGTCTTGGGATTCTCTAAGGATCGTTGTCTTCACAAAAATGTTTTGGTCTCATCTGTCATAACACTACCCCTTCAGAATTTTAATGGCTTGCTTTAAGTTTCTGCAGCAAACTTTAAGTGACGTTTGCTAAACTTCTCTTCAGTGGAGGAGTCTGGTGTTGCCTGTTTGCTTTAAAAAACTGAAGTAGTGACTTATTAGCCTGGCAAGACAGACTAAACTGCACAGAGCGTTTTCATTCTGTTAAACCACTGTTTTCTGGTGGTTATCTGGCCAAACCAATCACAGCGCAAGAGGTGGGACTTTATGAAATGTGGCTCTCAGCACCAGAATTACCCATAATGCAGCAGCACTTTTCTGCTAGCATAACAACCAGCTGGGGACCACAATGGAGCAATGTTTCAATGAAAATAAAGAACATAGTAGAGAGCACACCTTATATCTGCAAATTTTTTAGGCAAAATTGGAAGAAATTGTTCTCTGGAGAGTTTCTTTGACGACTTGACATGTTTCACAGACTACAAAATTACAAGAACAGAGCCCTCTGCCTGGAGTTTGTAGTTACCTGATTGATTTTTACCTGTTAGTCCCACTGCACCAGCCTTTACCAGACTAAAACGCCATGTAAACTTCATATCAGTCTGGCTGGCCTTTGAAAAACACATGCTAATGTGCCCTCTACAGTGGTGAGGATTCACTATATGTCCCCCTTTTTTTATTTTGATATCTACCCATCAAAAAGTCGGTGCACACCGATGTACGAAGGTTAAGTATTCAGTAAAGTGTGTGTGCATGGGGTTTTAAATCTTAGCCTCAAGTTTGGAATTCTGCTACTACCACTAACACTTAGTAAAAAGGCTGCTCACTCTATTTCATTAGGCCCGAGGTTTCAACTGTATATTCTGTCCTGTCCCATTGTATCACACAGCTTCATTTTAGAACTAACTTGTCTCGATTGTGTTGATTCTTTGGATTTTTATTGACATCTAGTTCAAATGTCTTCCTCTTTGGTCCATTAGAAATGTAAAATTCTATCATTTTAATTCTATACCTTTTTACCTGTCTCATGTTTTAGGAAACTACTATTACCATTATTCTGTAACATACCTCTTTTCTAAAAGCTGTTGGATGGTGAGGTAAGCCCACAGACGCTCCGTGAAATCTCCAAAGATGTAGCTCTCATCTGGGTAAATCACATTCCAGTCAACAATGGAGGCCTGACCTTGCACATTGAAGCTCTCTTCAAGCTACACAGGAAAGAACAGAGACAGAGAAATATTTCCTAATTAAGACAAATGCAGATGCATCTGGACATTAACGTTGTTTTTTGTTGGAGTCATGACCACCCCAACCAAGTAGTTCTGAGACAAGGCCAAGACCTTAAAAAGCCTAACACCATATAAGACCTTGGTCAAGATGTCTTGGTCTTGTCTTGGTCTCTGACTCTAATGGTCTTGGCCTTGTGTCGGTCTTGGTGCTTCTTACTCTGGGTTAGAGTGGTCTTGACTACAGCATTATTATTTGTAGTATTAATTCATCACCCCCTGGCCAATGACTTCCACCAGGAAGTTGTCCAGATCGTTGTCCGTCAACCGACCTGCTACCACAATTTCAGAGCCATTGAACAACTGAGGGAAGTGACTTGTGGTCAAATAGTCAACTGCATTGTCTGGATATTGCAGATCAATTTCTAAGAGCAGTGGGCTGGACACTTCATCATAGAAACCCTGCAATTAGATTAAAAACACATGCATCTAGAACAGTTTTGGAGGAGAGAAAAATACGTTTCAGTCACACAGAACACTTGAAACTCACTTAAACACCTTACCTGGAGCTGAAGCACTGCATCCGAAGCTTCGTAGATTCTGCGAGTCAGTCCTTTATTCTGTTTACTCATCACATCCAGGAAGTTGTAGTCCACATCATTTCCAAATCCAAGACAGAAAAGAGACATATTTCCTCCCATGGCAGATTTCACATTCTCCTGGATTTCAGGGATGCGAGACACTCCTTCAGATGCACAAGTAAAACATGTAAAAAAAAATGAAATAAAAATAACGATACAGTACATAAAGAAACCTTTCCTAAATTATGGTGACTGATAAAAAAAAGTATTGGTGTCCTTTAATGTTATGTACAGGATTTAATGTGATTGACCAACTCAGACAAACTTTAATTTATAAACTGCTCTTAAGGCAACCCAACAACCCAAAAGGATTTACACATCTACAGTTAAACAAACTGAAAAGGCATATCCCAAAATCCCTTTAGCTGTGTACGCAGGAATACTCCCTTCTTTTTCCACTATTATTTTTATGATACAATTCATATTTGACTTAGACAAACTTAATTGTCATTTTGCATACACTGAAAAAAGTGAAACAAAGCTGTTTTTCTTTTAATGTGTTTGTTTTTTATTCCAATGAATTAAAAAAAATAGTTTGCTCAATTAAACTAAACTTTCTTAGTTATGTTTATGATTGAATCTATTTTTTTTACTTTACTATAATGTAAACTGACAGCGAGGCACCAAACTGATTTTTTTTATTTTAAGCAAAGTCTTTTTATTAGATTGAGCAATTTGCGCATGCAAATTCTTTAAAAGTTCTGGCAGCAATTGTACTTCCGCCTCAGCCTCCACCAGACGTCATGCTGAAGAGAAAAATATCAGGCATTTTGCGCAATGTTGAGGTAAGTCATTACGATTTTTAAAGATGACTGGGCGTAAACCTTAGCCCCCAGACAAGATTTGTGTGAGTCTGTGCTTTTGTGGGCAATTAATTGCTCTGCTAGCATTAGCGCTGGAGGGGAGGGGGTTCGCCGTCGTTGTCATTGGAGAGGCCGAGCAGAGGTTTTATGGGTCACCTCTGGAGAGGAAGCTAGCCGCCATGGTGCATGTGTGTGGGAGCCGCGAAGCTTGAGCTCGGTCTCATAAGCTCAGCAAGAACTGCGGTGTATATTTTTCGGTCACAGGACTTTAAACTTTTATTTGAGACAACTTAAAAAAATATATAGTTTGCTCCCATATTCAAAAGCTGTTTAAATGAATTTAAAATATTCAGGTTGAACCAAGTATATTATTTACATTCAGTAATAAAACCAATGTATTTATTTTGATTTAGTAAAATCTGAAATAATTGCTTTGGTTCAACCTTTAGAAATTAGTTTACATGAAGTTAAATATTTCAGGTCAAATCAAATGGATTATTCATATGGCATGAAACTACAATATTAGTTGTGATCGATTACCTCAATTTTTTTTAAATTGAGCCAATGTTTCATTTTTTTCAGTGTACACACAGTGTATACAAAACGAAAATTTCATTTTGTACAGCTCTCATGACATTTCTTAAAGTGCAGTAGTGAAAAAAATCTAAACATTGGGGGAAAAAACATGGTGCAAAAAAAAAAAAACGCACTTGGAAGGATGACATGGTTTTAGCACTTTCCTTTTGCAAGTCTGAACAATTTTTATCAGTCTGTCTAAAGTCAAGCAACATTCAACTTTTAAAAAAAAAAGGTTGAAAGGGTATAAATACTTCTGCAAAGCCCCATATGGTCACACTTAGCATGCTTACCAGAATTTGGCATTCCATCTGTCAACAGAATGATCATATCAATGCTTCTCTCAGGTAATTTTTTCTCCTGTCTGTCTTTGATCAGCATATCTATCCCTCGCAGTACTCCAGAATTAATATCGGTACCTTGGAAAAAATAAAAACATCTTGTCATTTCTTCCATTCTGTAAATACAGGAAGTGTAATGTGATAAACTGTCACAGATTGTTGTCTTGACCTCCATTGGCTCTGATACTTCTGACATAGCTCTTGGCCTCAGCCACGTTTTCCTTGGTTGCCTTGGTAAGAGAATCCTTCCAAGTTAAAATAACGTCGTCAAACTGGATGACAGCAAAGTAGTCGTCCACATGGAGGTCATCCAGAATGGTCACCATTGCCTCTAGTGTCTGCAAAAGTTCTGAGATCAGAATGCTTCCACACCAGCATTGGTGCAGCATCTTTTACAATCTCAACCTTGGTTAAAAAAAATCTTTCAGAAGAATACACGTTTTTTTTTTTGTATTTACTTGACATAAATTCTTTATATGAACTCATTTATTACTTCATAATAATCCGTATTTTCTTTAAAAAAAAACATTTGCTAAAGAGTATGCAATGAACAATTAATGATTCCTAATAACCTAGAAACCTTGTAAGAAAGATAGACATAAAAAAGAAAAAATATACAAGGAGAGCATATTAATTACAATCCAAAAATTTGACAAACATCTTCCACTTATTCCCATGGAAGGATTTCCAAGTTTACAACCTTGTTATTGGCTGTGGGCCTTGGAATAACTGTTTGGGATTTTGGGCTACATAAACAAAATGGTAAACAAATGGCCAGTTGCAAAAAAGATGAGTTGATGCAGATGTATGTAAATGAAAAAATAATACTCTTGGTGAGATTTACTCTGACAATTATTGGTCAAAAAGGGACATTTTTAGGTTTACACTAATTAGCTATTTTACTAATCATCTACATTTCACAGGAAAGAGGATCAAAAACATCTTAACTTCCTTAATTTGGAACCACCCAGTTAAATTTAAATTTGAAAGCAGGCATTTTCCCCCAAAATCTGTTGGAAATCATTTTAAATCTTCTTTATAGGACCAATGATTTACATACACATTTTAACTGAAAATAAAATATATTCTTTTGGCTTAATCAGAAATGTTGAGCTCCAATTTTTAGCTAAGTGGTTGATATTATTTAGAATTTGTTAAACAAAGAAAATAATCATCTTGTAGCCTTCCAGTTGTATCAGCTTAAAAATGATGCCATTGTCTGAAAACAGTTGCACACCCCTAAAAAAATTGCCCAAGTCGTCCCCTTCTATATTTGTATATATTTCAAAATGGCAAAATGTAATCAAATCATTTTCCAAATATGTATATATATATTTTTTCTATACACTGCACATATATTCTAAAAGATAGCATGAAGAAGTTTCACCTGTCTCATCTTTGTGCCTCCCATCGACCCACTTCTGTCAATCACAAACACCACATTCTTTGGTACTCTGGGCAGGTCAGGGGGAGAAAAAAAGTGCACAAAGTAGCCATTCACAATCTGGAGGGAAATAGAATTATACGTTGTATTAAATAGCTGAATAAATGTGTGAATATAAAATGAAAACAGTGAAAGCTCTAAACGCATGAGCAGATGATGGCAGACCTGAATCTCCCCAAGGCGTCCTTCTCTGTTCACGTCATACTTAATGATGAAATCACCATCTATCAGTGATCCATCACAATCTGGACATTTTCTTTGCTGATCCAAAGTTGGTGAGAAAGAAATGTGGGCCTGAGAAGAAGAGCAACAAACAGTGAGATATTTCAGTTAGATGCAAAACAGAAAAGGGGAATAAAGGTCATTCAGGCTTAAAGGTGAAAAAGAGAACAAGTAGAGTGATGTACCTTTTTGTCACTGACTGTTTTCTCGACCAGGGGGAGAAGCTCATTGGAAAGGAAAGTAGCATGGGTATCTACATAAGACAGGCCCTGAGGTTCATAGATGTTGGCCAAAATCTGTTCCCACCCAGAAAAAGCACAAGGACATTATTTGTCCACAAAATCATCAAATCATCAAAAGAGAAGGTTAAATTCACCATCTGGTGATTCACCTGAAACTGCTGCACCAGGCTTTTGGGCTTAACTCGGATCAGAATCTCATACTGGCCAAACTTCCTCTGAAGGAGCTCCTCGTAGGTCAGGACAAATGTCACGTTGCTTTCAGCTGCAATGCTGACTGACACGGAAAACTTCTCCATCTTCCTCCCAGAGGCCCTTCAGTGAAACACAGAAACAAACATCTCCATCTGGTGGTAAAGCTAAAGTCATAACTTCCAAATTAGTGGAGGTTTGGATCAGCTAGTTTAGAAAGCTTTAGTTCAAGCAGTTCTGGTTTGAGTTTGTATTTATATCCCACTAAACTCACTTGACCAATCCTGCAGTCTGTCCAGATGAAACAGCCTTCTCATATTGTTTCTTCGCTTTCTCCTTTTCCTTCACCTGTCCCACATACTCCTTCCCTTCAATTTCCCTGAGAAGCACGAAAAACCAAACAGTTTTGTTTGTATCATCATAAACTGCAACCTACAGTGAGCTGGAATCCTGTTTGTTTCTTCAAAGAGATAAAAGAGAAAAAAATCCCTTCTTACATGCTGAAATTTGTGATAAAGGCAGACTTGGGGAGTTCCACTTCGAAGAAGATTTCCTGTGATGTGTTGGCTTTGTTTAGAGCTACGGAGGTCATGACAGTGTGGGAAAAGCGGGACATTACAGTGCACTCCACAGTCACACTGTGTACTTGCACCTTTGGACAGAAGACAATGAAAACAGTTAATCCAAAACTTAAATAGAGGCCTCCATATTATTGTCATTAGAATTATTAATTCATCTATTTATAAATCTGGCCAAAAAAGCACATTGCATACTGATCAGATCCTTTGAAACTTCTCACTTTTTGTCATTCTGGAACCAAAAAATGACAAAAAGTCATTTTTGTCATTTTAAATATTGCCCCCCTTATATTGAAAACAGCTTAACCTCAAATAGAGTCAACCTATATATATATGTGGTCTTGATTTAGCCAGTCTTAAAATTATGTCATGAAAAGTAACATTTTGGCACACATCATGAAAGAAGGTGCTCTGATGACCCTGAACACACCACTGCCACAATTATACATGGTGGTGGCAGCATCATTCTGTGGGAAAACAGTTTTTCTATGGGTGTTGATGCTTGTCTGAGATTATGGGGAAAGGATATTAATAAATATAGGTCCTTCATAGAAGAAAACCTGCCTATGGAGAAATTTTAACTCAAAGCATATCCATTTGTTGGAATGGTCTAGTTCAAGCCGACATAGAATTTCATTTAAAATCTGTGCAGGATTCCTTTTCTGAATAGGATAAGGAATCATTCGTACCAGGATTTGCAAAATTGGAAGAGTAAATGTTTTTTCTTTAAAGTATTGAATTATAGGAGAATAAATTCACTTTTTGAGTTTTTATTTGTTAAATAAAAAAGAAAGAAAACAAATCAATAAATGAATAAAAATAATGATTTAGTTTATTTGAAAAATCCAAATAAATCTCATGGGAGTTTGCTGTGGGAGAGTTGACAAACTGTAGAAAAGTTCTGATGAATGTATGAATATTTGAGCAATACAACGAGATACCTTAATTTATTACCTGCTGAAAATAAAAGAAAAGGACCTAAAGTTCTCCCTTAATGAAAATAAAATTTGGCACACTTTTTCATTTATCTTAAATGGCCATGTAATACAATGCTTTAAAGGTTTTATGAGAATATTTAACTATTCTTTTTAGCGTTTAGTCTCTAGATGCAGGTTAGTGGTGGTGAGTATAACAACTGATACTAAAAACTTCAACCTAACTCCTTAGGTCTAGATTAAGGTGCCATTTTGCACAGAATGAGGACAGCCTTCCCAACATGCCCAGTATG